TACGTGTGCAGGTATCTTTTTTATAGAGTGATTTGTGTTCTTCAGGGTATATTCCCAGTAGGGGGATTGCAGGGTCATATGAAAGGTCAATTTTTAGAGCTTTAGGAATCGCCACACTGCTTTCCACAGAGGTTGCACTAGTTTTACACTCCCACCAACAGTGTAGAAGTGTTCCCTTTTCTCCACACCCTCTCCAGCAGCTGTTATTTTTTGAGTTGTTGATAATTGCCATTCTGACTGGAGTTAGGTGGTATCTCAGTGTGGTTTTGATTTGCATCTCCCTGATGATTAGTGTGTATCCATTTTAAAAAGGACAAACTGTGTTTTGTGACTTACATGCCAAGAACAAAGACTCTGAATGTCAAAAGATTCAAATATAAACGCAAATCCAAATGATCAAAGTACCACACTATTCTTGACTCCTTGATGGCATCTGACCTTAACCAAAGGAATGAACCGAAGAATTTTATAAAGTCCGCTTTAGTTTGAAAAGTATAATACTATTTTATATATTTTGGTGGTTCAAGTTGCTGTTTTTTAATTTTTCGTTTCGTTTTATTTTTTGAGTCAGGGAATCGCTCGGTCACCCAGGCTTGAATACAGTGGCATAATCTCAGCTCCCCTTAGTCTTGACCTCCTGGGCTTAGGCGATCCTTCTGCTACAGCCTCCTGAATTGCTGGGACTACAGGCATGTGCCACTACACCTGACTAATTTTTTAAATTTTTTTGGAGAGACGAGGTCTCGCTATGCTGCCTAGGCTGGTCTCAAACTCCTAGGCCAAGCAATCCTCCCAAAATGCTGGGATTAAAAGCATGAGCCACTGTACCTGGCCTCAACATGCTATTTTAAAAATAGCATACATAGCTTAAAAAAATAGCATACATAGTGGTTAAAATAAAATACAAAACAAAAACAGATCTGCTTACTTTACTGGGCTCTAGAGGAACTTACATTATTAGGCAGTAATTGCCACTTGTGAAATAATCTGCTAACTCCTTTAAATATCTTATAAAAGTCTATTTTGTAAAACCATGCTATCGTTACAACTTCTCACTCTACATATGTATTTCCACAGGAAAAATCTGAAATAAAACTAAAATTAAATGCAAGGACTTCTAGTCTGCAGTTCCACATACATGTAACCATCCTGGAAGTGGCCACTCCTCGATATGCATGTACATATCAATTATGTATGCTTATATCTGCAAGTGGAATGGATGACAGCAATGATACAAGATATGGGAGGGAACCATTAGAATTATTTTGTAACTGTAAGATATACTGCCTGTTCAGTGGTACAGTATTATTTGAAAATGAGCTTAGATTAGCTGTAAATGTGTACTGCAAACTCTAAGGCAATGACTTAAAAAAAAAGGATACATGATATGCTAAGAAAGGTGAAAAAATTGAATCATATAAAATGTTCAATTAAAACCACAAAAGGCAAAAAAAGAATGGAAGACAAAAATAGGAACAAGGGCAACAAATATAAAACAGTAACAAATGTAGTAAATACTATTCAATAATTACCTTGAATGTCAATGGTCTAAAGACACCAATTAAGACAGAGATTGTCAGAGCTGATCAAAAACAAGAGCCAATCATATGTTATCTACAAGAAACCCGCCTTAAATAAAAAGACATATATAGATAAAAGTAGTAAATGGCAAAAGATATACCTTGCTAAGACACATCAAAAAAGAGTGGGAGCAGCTGTATTAATCACAGACAGAGTAGACTTCAAAGCAAGGAAAGTTATTGGGATTAAAGAGAGAAATTACATAATGATAAAGTGGTCAATTCTCCAAGAAGCCATCATGACAATCCTTAATATTTACATCTAAGAACAGAGAATCAAAATACATGACCAGAAAATCAAAATACATAAGGCAAAGCTGATAGAACCACAAGGAGGAATAGATGAATACACTATCATAGTTTGAGACTTCAATACTCTATCAGAAATGGACAGATCCAGCAGGCAGAAATTCAGTAAGAACATAGTTTAACTCAACGAATACCATTAATTAGCTTGGTATAATTGATATCTATAGCTACTTCATCCAACAATAGCATTATATACATTCTTCTCAAGCTCACATAAAGCATTTGCCAAAACAGGTCACGTTCTAAGCCATAAGGCACATCATAACAAATTTTTAAAAATAGAAATCATATAATGTCTTCTCTCAGTGGGATAAAACTAGAAGTCAAAAACAGGAATTTAATTGGAAAATTCCAAAATATATGGAAATTAAACAACATACTTTTAAATAACACACAGGTCAATTAAAAAAAAAAAAACTCAAGAGAAATTTTAAAATATTTTGAAATAAAAATGAAAGCATAACTTACTAAAGTTTGCAGCAAAATAATCTTAGAGAAAAATTTACAGTACTGAATGCATATATTTGAAAAGAAAAAATATATGAAATCAGTAATACAAGTTTCTATCTTAGGAAATTAGAAAAAGAAGAGAAAATTATAATATATCCAAAGCACATAGAAAAAATAATAAAAAACAGAGAAGTCAAAAAAGTCAATGAAACCAAAAGTTCTTTTAAAAAATAATAAATACAATCCATAAGGCTAACTAAAAAAAAAAGAGAGAAAGACAGAGAGAAAGGGGGGAAAAAAAGGAGAAAGAACACAAATTCAGAATTTCACAAATGAAAGACAGGACAACACTACAGATCACACAGAGATAAAAAGCATAATAAGGAAATAGTAGGCCGGGTGAAGTGGCGCACACCTGTAACCCCAGAACATTATGAGAGGATTGCCTGAGTCCAGGGGTTTGAGACCAGCCTGGGCAACTTGGCGAGTCCTCATCTCTACAGTAAATTTAAAAACTTAGCCAGGCATGGTGGCATGTGCCTGTGGTTCCAGCTACTTGGAAGGCTGAGGTGGAAGGGTTGCCTGAGCCCAGCAGGTTGAAGTTGCGGTGGCAGTAAGCATGTCACTGCACTCTAGCCTGGGCAACAGAGTGAGAGTCCGATTCAAAAAAAAGAAAGAAAAAAGAAAGGAAGGAAGAGAGGGAAGGAGGGAGAGAGGGAGGGAGGGAGGGGAGGAAGAAAGGAAGGAAGGAAGGAAGGAAGGAAGGAAGGAAGATGAACAACTCTATGCCCACAAATTTAACATCTTAGATAAAATAAACTAATTCCTTGAAAGATACAGTCTGCCAAAACCACACAAGAAGAACCAAACAATTTGCATAGGCCTATATCTATTAAAGAAATTGAGTCAGTAATTAAAAACCTTTCAAAACAGAAAGCAGCATGCCCAGAAGGTGAATTCTAACAAACAAAAAAAATAAATTATACCAATTCTCTATAATCTCTTCTAGGAGGCAGAAACAAAGGGAATACTTCCTAACTCATTCTATGATGCCAGCGTCACCCTAATACCAAAACCAGACAAAAATATTACAAGAAAATTACAGACCAATAAACATCTCATGAACACAGATCCTCAACAAATATTAACCAATCATATTCAACAAAGTATAAAAAAGACTGTATAACATGACCAAGTGGAATGTATGACAAATATGCAGGGCTGGTTTAACATTCAAAAATAAATTAATGCAATCCATCACATCAACAAACTAAAGAACAATCACACAAGCCAATCAATAGATGCAGAAAATTTTATTTACAAAATCCAACCACCCATTCATGATAAAAATGCAGTAAATTAAGAACAAAGAGGTGCTTCCTCAACTTGATAAAAAATATCCACAGCTAACATTATATCTAACAATGAGAAACTAGAAGCATTCCTACTAAGATCAGTTGAGAATGTCCCTCTTCTCACCACTCCTTTCAACATAGTACTAGAAGTCCTAGCTAATGCAATAAGCCAAGGAAAAAAAGAAAAAAAAATCTATATATATACAGATTAGGAAGAAAAAAAGAAAATAATTTTAGCTCACAGATGACATGTTTGTCTATGTAGAAAAATCCCTCCCCCAAAAAATCAACCAAAAAACCTCTTAGAACAAGCAATTATAGCAAGGTTGAAGGATATAAGGTTAATATACAAAATCTATCACTTTCCTACACACAGCAAAGAACACGTAGAATTTGAAACTAAAAACACAATACCATTTACATTAGCCCCCCACAAAATGAAATCCTTAGGTACAAATCTAACAAAATATACATAAGATCTATATAAGAAAAAGTACAAAACTCTTTTGAAAGAAATCAAAGAACTAAATAAAGGAGATCATTCATGGTCATGGGTAGGAGGACTCAAAATTATCAGGATGTCAGTTCTTCTCAACTTGATTATGTAGATTCAATGTAATCCCAATCAAAATCCCAGCAAGTTATTTTGCAGTTATCAATAAATTGATTCAAAAGTTTATATAAGGGAAAAAAGACCCAGAAGAGCCAACACAATATTAAAGAAGAACAAAGTTGGAGGACTGACACTACCAACTCAAGACTTACAATAAAGCTAGAGTAATCAACAAGGTGATATCGGGAAAAGAATAGACAAATAGATCAATGGAACAGAACAAGAAGCCCAGAAATAGACCCATGTAAATATATTCAATTTATTTTTGACAAAAATAGCAAAGGCAATATAATGGAGAAAATAGTTTTTTTAACAAATGGTACTGAAACAACTGAACATCTACATGCAAAGAAAAATTAATTTATAATGGGTCACAAATTTAAATGTAAAATGCAAAAGCATAAAACACTAAAGATAAGAGGGGAGAAAATATAGATGACTTTGGGCTTGTTGTTTGTTAATTTTCTAGATCCAACACCAAAAGCACGATCATGAAAGAAGAATTGATAAGCTAGATTTTATTAAAATATTCTGCTCTACAGAAGACACTGTCAAGAGAATGAAAAGACAACCCACAGAATGAGAGAAAATATTTGCAAAAGATATATCTAATAAAGAACTGTTATCCAAAACATACAAAGAACTTCCAAAACTCAACAAGAAAACAAATCCAATTTAAAAATGGGCCAAAGACCTTAACAGATAATTCACCAAAGATATACAGATGGCAAATGAGCATATGAAAAGATGCCCTACATCATCCGTCATCAGGGAAATACAAATTTAAGCAATAAGATGCCACTACACACCTGTTAGAATGCCCAAAATCCAGAACACCAATAACACCAAATGCTGACAAGAATATAGAACAGGAGCCCTCATTCATCGCTGGGAGGAATGTAAAATGATACAGCTACTTTGGAAGAAAATTTGGTGGTTTCTAACAAAAGAAATCATACTGTTACCATATAATCCAGCAATCACACTTGCTGGTGCTTACCCAAAAGAGTTAAAAACTTACGTCCACACAAAAACCTGTACATGGAAGTACACAAGCACTACATTCATAATTGCCAAAACTTGGAAGCAACAAAGATGTCCTTCAGTACACGCATGGATAAATGAATCGTGGTACAGCAGACAATGGAATATTATCCAGTGCTAGAAAGAAATGAACTATCAAACCATAAAAAGACATGGAGAGAATTTAAGTGCATCTTACTTTGTGAAATAAGCCAATCTGAAAAGGCCAGATTACTATATGATTCCAAGTATATGGCATTCTGGAAAAGGCAAAACTATAGAGACAGAAAAAAGATCAGTGGTTGCAAGATTAATAGAAAGCACAGAAGATTTCTAGGGCAGTGAAAATACTCTGCACAATACTGTAATCCTGGATACATGTCATTATACATTTGTCCAAACCCACAGACTATACAATATCAAGAGTGAACCCTAATGTAAACTATGGATGTTAGGTGATAATGGTGTGTCAGTGTAGGTTCATCAACTGCAACAGCACTGCTCTGGTGGGTGATGTGGATAATGAGGGAGGCTGTGCATGTACGGGGCATGAGGTATCGCTGTACCTGCCTCTCAATTTTGCTGTGAACCTAAAACTACTTTAAGTAATAGTCTTGAGTGAATAAATTAACTAACTAAGACAGATGCAACACTGTTAACATTTAGAGTACACTCCCTAGATCCCAAATGAACATGGTAGTGGTAGCATATTCAGATTACAATTTTTCTAATAATGAATATGCACTTACTTTCATGAATCCTTCACTTTTCAATTTGTGCAGTTTGGAGGCAGCATTATGGAGGCGTTTTCTTTGAGAATTCAAGAGAGAGTCCAGCACTTGCCACCATGTACGACAGTTCAATACAAAGGCCAACCCCACTACAGATGCAATTGATATGAGGACAGCATTCACTGTCAGATGTTTTGGGTCGACCCTGAAGATAGCCAGAAGAGTAATTCCAGCAATAATGCAGCCAATAATAAAGAGGAAGATGACAAAAGATGGGAGACAACACGTTTTTTTCCATTTCTTTTTACCTGTAATACAACACATGGTTTTAACAATTATTAACACATCAAGTATCTAGAAAGTCCTCATCATTACAGATGAGTCTGCTGTTCCAACTGTATTTTCATGAAAATAAACAGAGAATTCATTCCACTCTCAACCCTTAAACGTAACACACAAAAAGGAAGAAATCCTACCTTGAGAATCTTCAGTCTTGAATACTCGAAAAAGCCTAGTTGCCAAAAAGCCAAACTCTCTTTCACAAGCATCTGAGAGGGTTGCAATCATTTCAGCCAATGAAGTTTCTCCACCTACACTGGACAGCCTATTGTAATCGGTAAACAAAAACCTGAAGGAAAAGACAAATAAAGTATCACTCAGATATTTGAAGTAGCAAATAACTTACAAATTTCGTCTCTGTATCATTTACCTCATATTTTCTTTTAGTGTCTTTCAAAATATTGTTTTTAAAATCCTAAGGAAGAAAAACAACTTGCAATTAGGTAGTTGCCACTTCTAACATACTTTTCTTAGGAAAAAACAATAAGAAAAGCTATATGTAGCAGAGTTATACAAAGTAATTCTGACTAAGGGCAGAAGGGGAAAAGTTATGCCAGAGCTCAGACATGAACTATCAGGCTCTTCAACAGATCTCATGAAATAGCTATTAAGGCGCACCCACGACGGATGAGGCCACAAAGAGTTGCACAAAGAAAGTTTTCTAAAACCATTGGAAGAACTCAGAACCTTGAGGAAGTATTAATCACAGTCATTACAGAATTTCAAGCCCAGTAATGCCATTTGAAAACATTAGTTTTAAAATGGCTTGTTTTATTTATAGCTGCAACATTTACCAGTGATTTAGAAATAGTTGTAAAATATTCTTATTATAGTTGTTATTCAAAATAACAGAATTATTTGTATTTTGAGTCTCTGGATTGTTATTATTTCTGCATTAGTTCCTTTCTTCCCTTCCATCTCTAAATTAAACTCTCACCTTAATCCAGTAAATAGGCATTGTTCTTAAAATACGATCTGGGATCACACTGTATTATACTGTGTGCTTTTGACTGATTCTATTTTAATAGTTCTAACTTTTTTTTTTTTTTTTTGAGTTGAAGTCTCACTCTGTTGCTTAGGCTAGAGAGCCATGGCATGCTCACAGCCATCACAGCCTCGACCTGCTGGGCTCAGGCGATCCTTCCGCCTCAGCCTTCCAAGTAGCTGGAACCACAGGAGTGCACCACCACACCCAGCTAATTTTTTTATTTATTGTAGACATGAGGTCTCACCAAGTGGCCCAAGCTTGTCTTGAGTCCCTGGACTTAGGCAGTCCTCTTGCCTTGACCTCTCAAAGTGTTGGGATTACAGGATTGAGCCACCGCGCCCAGCATGCTCTAACATTTTTTTAAAATACCACCTTACTAAAGCATTTTTCTTATCTTTTTTGTAAAAGTATATTCCTCCAATTATTTTAGTTTATTCTATGCCTGCTTTTCAAGTTTTTCATTTTACCTTTTCATTTTTAAAACCTGTTCTTAATACTATATGCTAATTTCTTGTAAGCTTTTTCCCGTTTCTCTCTTATATTCAGTTTTAGTATTTTTTCTGACTTGGCCTATTTATTTTCATCTTAAATTATACATATTTTATTTTAATTTCAAAATTCTTTATCTTTTAATACGTTTGTAATTCTTTTGTAACTTCTATTTAATTTCTTTTGCTTTTAATTTTCCAACTTTAAAAAAAAAATTTTACTTTCCTCTGGAGCATTCTACCTTTCCTTTATTCCTTGACTTAAATGTTTTTCATTTAAGTTTTATTTTCCATTTCCTCATAAATTTTCTATTTAATATGAACAATAATTTTAGGTGAACATGTAAATATATTTCCCGACACAAGGAAAGAGCAACTCTGAGAAGCGAGCCGAGTTTCCTGAGTTTCCACACTAAGGAGAGACCAGGCCTCCAACCACAAGCTCTTGCAGGCCCTACACAGGCAGCAGAGCCCTGTCTCTAACTCAGTGCTCTTCTCAAAGTGTGTGTCCAAAGGATGGCAGTAGGTGATGTAAGTGGGGAAAAAAGATTCACACTAAAATAAAATTTGGTAAATAAAAGTTAAACAGGTTCTTTATGAAAAGGTGCCTCTGCTTCTTTAACGCACATGAGGGAAATATATATAGTATGAAGTGTTTCCTAAATGTATTTGATCAGGGCATGTTTTTATTTTTATTTTTTCATATAAAAGGTTCAAGGAACCAAAATTTCTTGAAGCATACAATGAGAAATTATGCACTATAAACCTTTTTAAGTGAGAAAAATTTTTGCTAAATCTTATTAAAGGTTACTTCTGCCAAAGGGACCAACTCACCTCACAGGTAAAGCTTTAGTAGTTTGCTCTGGCAACTCAGGTGGATTCACAAACATCAGTTTAAGAAGGAGTTCCAAATATCCAATATGTCTTGCCAATCTGGTGCTGAGGACCCAAGCCCAATTCCAACTTTCTCCTTCCCTTCGTCCACCAAAGTAAATGACAACTGAAATTTACATCACAGTTTAAAAAATTTGTCCAGGACAGTCATTAGTCAAGCAACTTCTTTTCTCCAAACAGTCAAATATCAAGTAGTGACAACTAAGCTTTCACAACTATCTATGGTCCCATACTATTTCCTAATTACTCCTCAAAGAATTCAATGAACTTCTCCTTAGATATGGAAGGTATGTTAAAAATGGAAAGTAAACTGACTAAAATATGACCTAAGAAACACAATCAGAAAGACAATACCTTAAGCAGAAGCATATTTGTAGTTCAGGTTAAAATGCAAATGACTTTGGGTTTATCACTATTTGCAGCTGTTACCAGCTCCTCTAATAGTATATCTACTCTCCTTCTTGCAAATAAAGACAACCACAAGAACAGAGATTTTGTTTTTATTTTGTTTTAGACAAAATTAAAATTACAGTAATGGTCAAAATGCTCAAGAGCACATCAGTGATGGCTGTGAAGTCTTCTTTTCAGAAAAGATTTAATACTGATTAATACTATAAATACTGAATTAATGTATAAAAGGTTAAGTATAATAATTCAATATTAACAAGTAGTATACTAGCTTACAAACTACTCCAGCCAAGTTGTGGACAATGCTTCTCTAGGCCAATATATGGAATAACAAAAAAGAAAAATTTTCTCACTCAATTATGAAAATTATGCATACACTTTGAGACAGATATAATGTTTTAAGCACAACAATGAGTCTGATGTTTTCTCCATTTTTGAAAAAGATAAGAAGCAATGACTTACTGAAGAATATGTACAGGAGAGCCAAGAAACTCAGGGACACTGCTATTCCAAGATTTGGGTCGACTGTGAAAGCAAACAACAAACCAAGCCCTCCACAAAGCAGCAGGGTAAGAAATACTATAAGCCATGAAAATTGAAAAAGAGGCTCAATCTGTTGTCCTGCGAAAGTCTTCATTTCATCTGAAAGAGAACTTAATGTGAAAACCTTATTCCTGTTTTGGTTAAGAAATAAAATTTTTAACTCAATTGCAATTTTCACATCTTCAGTATAAACATTCAGTGGGCATTTACTAGGTCCCTAATAGAATATTGCTACTTAACCATTTTAACCAATGTTCTCTTGCCAGAATAACTGTCTTGTTCCCCAGGGGCACAGCTAGCCCTGACTTACTCACTTGCCTGCTTCGCATGTTGGACATACAAAAAATCCCTTTTCATGTACTGCCGTGTGTCAAGATGCTGTTCATATTTATTTTTGCAGTTCATATTGCCAACAAGGTATTGTTTTCCATATGCAAAAATAAAAATAATACTCTGTAGCTTCAAATCACATATCACCACCATGCCTCTCTGATCCTCCTCACCTCTTCTCCCTCCAATCGCATTCGAAATTACTGTTCTTAAAGGTGTGTGTTGAGCCCATATGAGCCTCACACAAGTCATTCTTTGTACAAAACTTGGGGAAATTTTTATAGTCAGTACTGAAAACTGTCTTTAAAAAATGAGAAAGATTTTGCCAAGCAAAAGATGCGAGTATTGGGTGGGAAGTAGCGGGGGCAAGCTGTTGAAGAAGCTCCTAATAGAGGGAGCAACTCAGGAAAAGTGTCTCATCTGCTCTTGCAAGAGTAAATAGTCCTCTGTGATGCAGTCTGGGGCTCACATCTCCCCCCAGAGGTGGTATGGCAGGTGGAGTCATGAAAATTGACAAATTATTGAAGTTCTGGAATACCTGCCACCAAGGGTTTTCATGGGGTCTTATCACACAGAAGGATCCACACCAAATGACTGTGCGAGAGGGCCAACTACAAGGGAGTTCATTCTGGTAAACCACATAACATACAGTGCATACAGAAAGCTCTGTCTTCTTTTTACTCCAGAAAAAAACCTTGTTATATACACAGACTTTAGCCAAGCAGACCCTTTACCTTCTAGTTTCTTGAGTAAGAAAGATTTCCCACTTCCCCACTGTGCATATAACCCCACACAAATGGGTGGCTGCATGGTAGGCTCACTGAGAATATCTGCCAGGGCACTGCTATATAAATCATATCCAAGCATGTCACCGTCTGATTCAGTAGGAGACAAGTGTCCTATAATTAGAAACACATCATATTCTTACATTAAACAGTGGCATTACTATTAAAAAGGAATGCCCATTCTCAGTTATTGTTTAATTAGAAAGAAAAAAACATATTTTCAAACTTATACTTATGTAAAAAGAGGTTCAGAGATTCTTAAATTAATATATTTCATAGAACTTAAGATACCTACTGATTGTAATATGCATCATTTTTATGTACAATTAAGAATGGACAAAATGCTGCCAAATTATGACACAATGCTTTCTTCTCTCTCACTTATAAGACACATTCCAATTTCAGAGATGTTAAAATGTGGAATAATGTGTATTTTAAAATCAATAAAATATAATTAAAATATAAACTAGTACATAAGAATAAATTAAATATGTATAATAACTATATAAAGAAAGTTGTAAAATGTTACTAAAGAACATAATAGATTATCAGAGAAAAAGAAACATTCTATGGTTCCAGGTAGAAAGGTACAGCAATTCTCCCCATATTAATCTATCACTTTCAGACAATTCCAATTGAAACCCATGATTTTTTTTTTAAATAGAGGCCAGGCATGGTGGTTCATGACTATAATCTCAGAACTCTGGGAAGCTGAAGCAGGAAGATTGCTTGAGCCCAGGAGTTCAAGACAAGCCTAGGCAACATAGTAAGACCTCCTCTCTGTAAAAAACTAGCCAAGTATGGTGACTCATCTGTAGTCTCAGGTACTCAAGAAGCTAAGGCATTAAGATGGCCTGAGTCCAGGAGATCAAGTCTATAGTGTCTGTGAGTGTGCCACTGCACTTCAGTCTGGGTGACAGAGTAAGACTCTCACTCATTTAAGAAAAAAGAAAGAAAAACTGAAAAGCAAGAATAGCTAAGAAAAAATGTTAAGATTACCAAAAAGTAGTTGTCATTGGAGAATAAAAAAATAAAAACTGTAATAATTCGATCATAAAATCCATAGTGGATATTAATATAAGTGGTATTTCAAATCAGAGGGGAAAGGACAAATTAGTAAGCGATGTTGGGAGAGTTTAACCATTAATTTGTTAAAAAATTTAAATACTACATACCTCATAGCCTTAACAAAACTAAGTTTCTTAAATATTAAAAAATTAAGTGTAACCATTAGAAGTACCAGAAGAAAATATAGAAGATACTTTAAAAATATTTGTTGGAAAAGGTCTTTCTTTTTTCAATATAATACTAAGCAAGGCCTGAACTGCAGGAAAAGACTGATGAGTCTTTTGGATAAAGAATAAAAAACCATGACCATAAACCAAGAGTAAGCAGGGGAAAGGGAATGCAACATATAGGATGGACCCAGGATCAGTATATAAAGACATGTAAAAATAATCTTTAAAAAATATTAAAAACTAAAAAGTAGGCAAAGGACACAAAAGGAAAATGGCAAGAATACAAACTGCCTATGAATAGATTACACATTATCAAAGCCAAAAGGCTGAGAAGCAATAGTCTATGAATATATTTTTAAAATCTCAATTTCACTAATAATTTTGGAACACAAATTGAAATGAGATTTTGTCCTTATTGACTTGATTAGCAAAGGTTAAGAGGCTGGAAATACCCAGTGTTAGCAAGATTGGGGAACTGTACTACCTTATACTACCAGAGAGAGAAAACATTGTTATAATCATTTTGGAAAATCTATCAAAACTGTGGGCATCCATTGACTTATTGGTTCTCCTTCTGAGAATATCTTCTAAGAACATAATCTTAAAAATAAAAGTCTGCTGAATTGTATTCCACATCTTTAAAATAAAATAAAATATAAAAATAAAAACATAAGAGTCAATGGATATATGTACAAAAGTGTTCACCGAAGCACTTGTTAACAGCAAAACAAAACAAACATTAAATAGAGAACTCAATATACCATCAGAACTCACAATGAAAGATTATGTAATAACTAAAATATGCTATTTTATTAAAAATTTTTATAACAGAGTGACTCAATTTTTATTTTTTAAAACTACATACATAGTATATAATATTTTTATAAATCAAACAAAAAGCATGGAGAGTCACTCAAACAATTATAAGTTGGGAGACAGACAGCAATGAGGAATTTGCTCCTTCTGCTATGATCGTGTCTCCATTCTTGAAATGTAATGGGTGTATTGCTATTATAAATAAAAAAATATTTTAAAATACAAAAACTCAAAATAAAATAGAATGACACTTAAAAACAAGATGTAAGTAAGAAGCTAACCTGGAAGTTAGCAGGATTTTACTCATTCCTGTTGGTTTCTAGGTTTTGAATTCTAGGTTTTGAATTCTGTAAAAATTGTTCCATATTTCAAAACACCACATATGAATGATTACATTCTCATGTGCATTCTTTTCAATCAAAAATTATTTTACTATAATACTGCAGACAATATGCCAAATGTCACAGAGGACACAAAGAAACAGTTCTTGCCCTGAAGAGCTTGGACTATGGAAGGGAGAAACTTCTAAAAGAAATAGAAAAAAAAGTCATATAAAGTAAGTGTAGAAAAAGAAAAATAAACAAAAATGTCAAGTATTAAAATGCGGCAAAAGTTTTATCCAGTTAGCAGATCATTTTAAAAATCACCCAGAAGGAAACATTTGACAGGAGAGATCACTGTAACAAAGAAAAAGAATTCGTGGGGATGCAGAGGGCACAAGCTGTGCCAGGCAAAACAAAAAGCAGAGAACTGTAAATGTGCAGGCCATCCACAGAAAACAGAGCACATTTTTATAAAAGTACAAAATAAACCTGGGAAAGAAACACTGCAGAAAAAGACTTTTAGAAAAGTAAGTCTTATTTTTAGAGGTCTTAAAAGCTGATTGATAACTCTGAATATACTTAATTTAGAATGCTACAATAAAATGCAAAATAACTTTTGGTAGAAAGGACTGTTTTTCCACAATAAAATAACTTTCTAAACTTCTATATTCTCCAGTTAAGTGACAATACAAAAGCACTGTTGGCCTCTTTTATTTTTCATATTTTTAAAAATAGAACATTCATTATCTAACAGCTAGGTTAGGAACAAAACCCAATACTTACTGGCTCCAAATATTTGAGTTAAAATACTTTTCTGATGGCTACAATCGATATTGTAAGGAGTCTCGCCTGCTTTGTTGGGCCTATAAAGTAACCGCCCATCTTTGGGATTTCTTAAAAGAAGTTCTGCCAGTTTCCGGCTCCTTCCACGAATAGCAATATGCAAGGGAGTATCTCCTTTCTGTAAAATAATTATCAGGAAACTTGAACTTTCATATTTTTATATATAGCATTTACAGAGTAACAATTTGTTTCTGTGAAATAACAGAAAATCTGAACTTTTCATACAGAGCATATACATAAGATGAATTATCTTTATCTTCATCACAATTTCATCCTCTAGTTCATTACTCAGCTTTTCTCAGATATTATTTCTCCCACAGACCTCTAGAATGAAGGTCATTTGCCTCCCCTTCCCTCGACCCACTAAAAGAGGAAAGTGATAGGCTTTCTTCCTGCAGCTCCTCCCAGGGCATGGGTCCATTCCAGTCGTATCCATCTATCATCCAAATATTTATTATCCAAGGATGTCAACCACTTTCCTCAACCTTCTATTTCACAGCTTTCTTCATTTGTCTAGAAAGTTTCACAATCCATGCAGATGTCCCATCTAACACAAATGATCTTGTCAGCTCTTGTGACTTTTGTCAACCATTTGCCATTAGAGTGAGCTCCTAAATCTCACTACTCTCCACTCTCCACCCCTCAGTCCTTTATGCAACATCTATCATCCTCTGACTACTACACTCTCTTAGACTCTCCTTACCTTTAACTTTTTCCTTAACATCAACCTACTTTCTCTCAATATTAGAATTACCAATCATGTTAGTGTTCATATCCAACACTAGTGAACGCTAACATATAAATTTCTAAAACACTCTTCCATCTGAAAAGTGCTCTCTGATTCACAAACACATCTCTTGAAGATAACCAATAACCCAAAACTTAACAAATTAAGTTCTCAGTTCTCATCCAACCTGATCTATGATACTAAACGAAAATGACCTGCTCTTCCTATGGCTTCAAGGCAGGACCTTATCTTGACTTTTTGTCTTCTAGATTCTCCTGCCATGTCCTAAATGTAGCACAATAACTATGTATTGAGCTCATTATATGTAGGGCACTGTGCTGGATACTTTGGAGGATTTAAGGATGGAAGACAAAACAGTTCCTGACCTTAAATAGCTTACATCATAATAGGAAAAGACTGCATAAATATACACAATTATAAAACAAACAATAGGACACATGTCCCAAGAGAAGTCAATTCTGACTTCAGCTTTCCATCTTTCTTCACACTGATGGCCTTATTCCCTCCTATGCAACTCTCATCCCTCAGTAACTGCCAAATTTCCATCACCAGTCTTGATTTCCTACCCAGATTCCAGTTCTAAATTTCCCAATGCCTGCTAGCTACAGCCTCCTGAATGTCTTATCAGCTCTCAAACTCAACATATCTATACCTGATTGCATCATCTTATTTCTGCACCTCAACTCCTATTCTCATCCCCAAACCTGTGAGAAGGCAAATGTCATCAGTAGCACTTCTGTCAGACAAAAACTTTCTGAAAATGCAGAGAAAACATTAGCATACCCTACCAATATGCTGATGATAAAGAGACAGAAATGATGATGGGCCAGGTAAAAATAACATTAATCTTTATTCTTACATTTGTTTTTATAAAATTCCCTGTGAAGAGCCAGGTTCAAGACTTACATAAGTTTATATCCCAAATTCTGGCAGGACAGCACCTTACCTGTTCCTAGTAAGAATGTATAAAATGAATGAACAACTGTTCCAACTATCATGTGTACTTGTCAGTCAGTATCAAGTGCTGACTCTGGGCACAGCAACACACAAAAGGGTACTTATTAATGAGTATGAAACAATTATTTATAAATAGCATATACATAATTAATGAGGTAGTACGGGACCTTTACTGCAAATTGAGGGACCAGCATGAAATATGAGTCAATAGCAGAATAAGAAAAATGAGCATTATAGGAAGTTTTCTATAAAGAAGTGTGTGTGTGTGTGTGTGTGTGTGTGTGTGTGTGTGTGTGTGTATACATATGCATAAATACATTCAATTTTGAAAACTATTCTTTGACTTTATATCCTAATTTTTTTTTTTTTTAAGAGACACGGTTTCACCAAGTTGCCCAGACTGGTCTTGAACCCTCAGGCTCAGACAAGCCACTCGCCTCAGCCTCCCAAAGTGCTGGAATTACAGGCTAAGCCACCGAGCTCAGTCCCTTTCTAATTTTTAATAGTAAAGTTTTCCTTCTTTTATATGTGACTATACTAATATGGTCATGAGAGGTAGGAGGGATTTTTGGGGGGGGTTGTTTTATTTTTTAAAATAATGTTGAAACTTGGCAAAATACAAAAGCAAACACACACTGATTCCATGTTTTTTGTTTAACTGCTTTATAAATAATAGAAAGATAAACTTCAATCTATTATGAATTAGTAAAGCCTAAATCATACATTCAGAGGAGAAAATTTATAATATTATTTCTGACTTCACATATATAGATCAATTTATTTCTTTTCTGGGAGAAAATCAATTTGAAGTAGAGAAAGAAATAATCCTGTTTAAAATAAAGGCAAACTAAAACCAGAAATTAAATTTGTATGCAGTATTAAGCCATTTAGAGTTAAATTCATGAGATAAAATATGACAATTTCTCAAAAAAGATTAGAGCAAGGACAAACAGAGAACATTTTATCTCCTGTCTGTGCATGCGATGCCAGTCCACCTCCTCCGCCCCTCTGGAGTCTCTCCTCCTGGTTATCTGCCACCAGTTCTAGCCTGATTAAGGCCTCCGCCCTGAGGCCAATGGCAGCACCCACCACTGGTCCGTGGAGCAGCTTCATTAACAGCATGCTGAGCTCGTCCACTGCTGAGCATGCTACCAGGACAGCATCAAAATCCCACACTGACATTCCTGGCAAGTGATCTCTCCCTGCACAAACTAAAACCAGATCTCCATCAAGTCCACTAGACATAGAGGTCAGTCTACCAACAGCTTTCCAAAAAGGCTTCTCACGGCTCAGATGTTTTACCTTGTCTATAGCAGACACTTTAGCACCTTTATCTAGGAGCAGCTCCACTACTTCAATATTTCTCATCTTGGTAGCCTTTATAAGTGGTGTTTCACCATCCTGTGGGCACAGATAAGAAAGTCGGCCAGATTAATAACTTCACCCCTAAGTGTTTAAGTCATACAAACACACGTCAGGAAATATCTGACTCTGGGAGTCTATATTTAAAATGTTTGCAACAACAAAAAAGTTTAAAAGCTAACAAAACAGTGTTTTTCCTAGAACAACCCCTCATTTGATCAAGATAACTTTATATCCCTTAACTGATGCCAGATGTGCTCCCTCCCTTCCCATACACCGTAGCCAGTAGCAGTTCCTACCAGGCAGTGGTCACTGCTCCTGCCACTCCCCACAGTTCACAGCTGACTGTTGGCATGGTCCCTCCAGAGGCTACTGCCCATTCTCACCATCTCCCCACCCACCAACCCACAGCCCAGCCCAACATTTAGGAAGCCAGCATCTAGAGTTTTTCAGAAATTTATACCAACGTCGCTTCATTTCTCCGTGAACCTAAGGACCTGTGTATAGAAACCATGTGATACAAGCAACATGCCTTCAGAAAACTTCAAAAGAGCTCATGATTACTTTTAAAACCAAACAAAGGGAAACAAGACGAGCCCTCAATTCATTACTGAGTTAGGAAAGACAAAAACCTAGTCAGAAGTCACAGGTAGTGACAGTGGCTGACACAGAGATCCAATAGCAAAAGAAAAGATCAAGGAGTCATTTGCAAACCAAAAGGTATCCCAGAAACTTTTCCGCCCTAGGGTAAAGGGGGTACCATCATTGATTTTAAAATATGCTGGTTAAGATTTATAGCAAATGAATAAGAAAGGGATTGGTAGTAGTGGGAAACTGCCAGGGGAGAGGGGATGGGATTGGCAGTTGAGGGAAACTGCCAGGGGAGGGAGAGGCACACCTCAACAACAAGGATACCTGCATAATGAACATTTGTATACCTAACCCTGAATTGTGCCCCACATCCTTAAAATAAAAAAAATTTAAAAAAAGATTTATAGCAAATGAAATGAATTATCTTATGGGTGACTCAATAATTTTGCTTTCTTCATGAAGAATCCCTGCCATTTCAATCCAGAATTCCAAATATATTTCCCCATGGAAAACTATTACACATAGGTGAAATACAACCAGCAAAGTCTAATATAATTTTGTATTTTTCATTTGCATTTTTCATTTTTGAGTAAAGTAGGCTAAAGAGGATGGTTTGGGGAACCAAGTGCCAGTTACAATGGTCATTCATTCTTCATTTATTCATTTATTTATGAGAGATTATTTATTTAACTAATTGTTCTAGAGATGGGATCTCACTATATTTCCCAGTCTGGCCTCAAACTCCTGAGCTCAAAGAAAGTGTGTTCTGCATTCCAAACAATAGGAGCATAAATGAATTTGGTGGAAATGATCTGTGCACAATTTATGAATAGCTTATATTGTACTTTCTGAAAAGTATTAAACTGAAGTAACAAATTATACACTATATTTTGCTATGAGTACACAAATTCTGAAAGAATACAAAATTGCTCCTCAATTTAATACAGGATATTACCAGCAAAATCATTATAACTCTAACATCAAAGATAAATGAAATGCAATAAGCAGTACTAATATTCAGCACTGGGTATTGCTAAAAGATTAGAAATGCCATTTATACCTTTGTGCATATTTCAGTATCAGGATTGCACTGCAAGATATCTCTCACCATTGTTGCATTTCCTTTCTCGACAGCCCAGTACAAAGCAGTTTTATTGTCCTGTTTAATAAAAAAAGTCACTTCATATAAGACACAATATTTAATTCTACTACTTGTAAATGTAAAACATCATTTCAGCCAGAAAGCATTCCAACAGGCAGCCAGGCGGGGAATATTAATCCTTATGCTATCCTGGATTTACTTTTGAGAAATTATTTATGAAAGAAGCCTAGAAAAACTTCATCTTACCTGACTTAAAAAGTAGCAATCCCACATATTTAATAAAGGAAACTACACTTTTGTAATACAATCAGAGTTCAGTAACATGCATTGGGTTCGAAGTCATCAATATCTGATTGACCTCTGTAAACTTGAACAAGGCACACAAATATTCCGACCTCTGAATTTTTATCTGTAATATGGTATGAATATGTCCTCAATTTTTCATTTTCTTTTTTTTTTTTTTTTGGTATAGGAGTCTCACTCTGTCACCCAGGCAGGAGTGCAGTGGCACGCTCACCGCCACTGTAGCCTCGACCTGCTGGTCTCAAGTGATCCTTCTGCCTCGTCTTCCAAGTAGCGTCACCATGCCTCACGAATTTCTTGATTTATTGTACAGACGAGGTCTTGCCAAGCTGCTGGTCTCAAACCCCTGGACTCAGGCAATTCTCTCGCCTCTGCCTCCCAAAGTGTTGGGATCACAGGCGTGAACCACCGCACCCAGCCTGCCTGTCCGATTTTCTCAAAAGATAATGCATGAGAATGTACTTCATAAACACCAGACATTATCACTTTTATCATTTTTAGTTTCCTTAATCTCCACCTACCCTGCACCCCATAGTGTCTTGATCAGGTTCTTTAAAGTCCTATGTAGCTCAAAAATCAAGTATCAATCCACACAGACCTTAAAAATAAAGCTAGAGAACAATAAAACTGATTGAAACATAGGAAAACAGGGTGACTAGGGTGACAGACACAAAATAGTTAGGCAAAAATCTAAACAGGTGATCTAGAAACCATCTTTTAGTGAAAATGATTTTAATCCAAAAGATAATGACTTTCTATTGCTGCCAAGTTCCCCTTCTAAAAAATACACCAGCTGCCCAACCTTCTGAGCATGGTGCTCAAACTTGTTTGGTCATACCTTCCCTTTCCATTTCAATTTCTCTGTCTCTCATCCCACCACCTAATGCCCCACCACCCCACTGCCAAACTGATTCATTCACTAGCTATGAAATAGACAGTCTTTCACTTTCTAATGTTCTCAAAATTTCTAACCTAGTATCACTGCCCTTGCCTGAAACACGCAGGCTTCCTTCTCTCCATCCATCTAAATCCAACCTATCTTCAAACTTAGCTCGAGTTCTACTTTGTTCTGAAAGCCTTCTTCTTTAATGCCCTGTTTCCCCACCTTAAGACTCATATCTGAACCTGTCACTAGGCAATCAATTATACACCATCTTGTGGCTTCATTCTTTGTTTATACAAATGCGTTAAAAAACATAAAGCAAAATCTTCCAAATTAAAATGTTTCTTATAGGCAAGGGTCCCATGTTAATTCCCCCATAACATCTGCCTATTTATTAGTTTGATTCAAAAATGGATTTGCATACAAGAGATTTTTGGCTAAACACGAGGAAAATCAGAGCAGAAAAGCAGACTATCCAACGACAAAATGGACTACCAAGAACATTTTTTAAAAATCTAAAGCTCAGCCGGGCTCGGCGGCTCAGCCTGTAATCCTGCGCCTTGGGAGGCTAAGGTGAGTGGATTGCCTGAGCCCGCGGGTTCGAGACCCGCCTGGGCAGCGAGACCTCATCTTTACAATAAATCAAAAAATCAGCCGGGCATGGTAGCACATGCCTGTA